CTGTTCTCAGACAGACCTGAAGTAGAACAGCAGTGTCTCAGACTGTTCTGAGAGCATTGGTTGGGAAATCTTACAACTGTCCTGCTCCTGGCCCCTGGAAATATGTTCACTCAGTGAGACACCAGAGTCCCCCATTTAACCTGTGCAGAAGATTCTGCAGTGTCTGAAAGGGACTGAGCTCTTTTGGCAGAGCAATAGGAAAGCCCCATTCCTCCTCCTGCACAGCCTTTTCTCCCCACAAGGCTCACCAGAGGATTAAGAAATTAATCCTGTTTGGGACATCTAGCTCTCCACTGAGTCTGACCAAAAGGGCCAAAGGCAGTGCAGATAAGTGGGCACCGACAGAAAGCCCCTTCCCTGCAGGGGCAGACCCACGGGCCACCCCTTCCTCATCCGTCCCCAGGCTGTGGCAGCCCAGTGCTGGGCCACGAATGGCTCCTAGGGTGGCACCTGGCCCTGGTACCCAGCATCACCTGCATCCCCTGGAGCAGAGGGAGGCCCAAGAGAGGCCCGAGGGAGACTTGCTCTCACTCTCTCTCTTGCTCACGCTCTCGCTCTCACTTTTGCTCTTCCAGGCTGCCCTTGGGGACCACGTGCCCCCGAGCCAGACCGCGGCTCTCCTACATACTCCCAACATCACTTTCAAGTACTTAAACCCTCCCTGCTTCACTCTCTGAGCCTTTTATCCAACTCCAAAGCCAGAGTGGTTCTGCCCTGGGCAAACACCCAGGGAACTAATCTGTTCACATCCATTCGGAAGCATCCACGAGCTGGGAAAGGAAACCTCCAACTGGAATAATGGATGGGCTGGGGAAGAAAGGCAGCAGGGAAATGTTGTAGGCTTTTCTACTCTTTTTTTTTTTTTCTCCCACATAACTGAAGAGGTTGGCTGCCTCCCCCAGCTCACAGTTCAGAAACCAGCTCATTGCCCACTCCTGCTCAGACAGAGCAGCTCTGCTGTAGGTTGTCTCAGCAGCTTCACATATCTGCTCAGAAATCTCCTTGCCGACCTTGGCCCTTCTTTAGTCCACGTTTGGTAACTTTCCACTGCTCCGAGCTCTGGCCTGCCCGTGTCAAGTTAGGAGAGAACTGGTTGTGCTGGGCAGGAACCACTTCTCGTGCCCAGCTGGTTCCACCTGGGATCCCACCGCTATGAATGAGTGCCCAGCACCCCAACCACACTGCACATGGTCCTACCATGGGACAGCCTGCATGGGCATCCAGCAATGCTCCAGGCCCAGCTCACTGAGCACAGGGCTGTGCCTGCCTCTGCTTCTTGTTGCTGGTCCTCATGATCACAGCCAAGACACCATGGCTGGAAAAATGGGTTGTGATGCAGCAATCCCACCCACTGCATCCCAGCTCTGCTCCCAGAAACCCTGGAGCCACATCCTGGTGCCGGTAGGTTGCAGAGCAATAACTTCCTCCTGCACAAGTTACCCTGAAGCCTTGTCCCTTGCCTGAGAGAAGCCTTCCCTGGGGGGTTGTTTATTAGAAAACTTTCCCCCCCCATTCCGCTCCCCCTCCATCCCTGAGCTGTCCTTTGCTCTTGAACCCAGAGGAGAAGGAACACCTGAGCAGGAGCAGCTCTACGCACCCAGGGTAAGAAACCCATAAAAGCCGTGCAGCTCCATTGAGCAGGAGCTTCTGGTCTCAGTGCTGAGCCAAGGACCTGCTGTGACCCGGCGTCCCCCTGCCACCACGCAGAATCAACCAGGGAGGAATTCAGCCTCATTCAGATGGGTCCTCCGGCGAGTGATGGGATCGAGCCTTAGCACTGCCAAGAAACTTGGGGGGATGTATGAGTAGGGAGGCTTTAGTCAGCCGTGACAGAGGAAGATGGCTATCGGGTGGGCGGGCTGCAAAGGGTGGGTAATAGCCAGCCATCAGATGCCTTTAGGGTGACCAAATAGCCGTGTAATGGGCCCTGCACTGGAGTGGGCTGAGGGCCCTAAGGGCACAGATTGCAGCCCGGATAAAGCACCCTGGTAGTTCAACTCCCATCCATTATTTAAATGCAAAGGTAAATGCTTCCACCTTTGGAGCTGGAATGGTGCCACGGGCTGGCTGCCTCCTGGAGGCACTCAGGGCCATTGCAGGAGCCCCAGGCAGCTACAGCAGGCAAGGAGGGGATCTATCCCCTATGTGGGGTACCACAGGCACCACTGGGACAGGGAGCAAGGCTGGATGACACTGAGGACATGGGACTCAATCCCACACCTTTCCTTCTGCTGCTTCCCGCACTGGCACTCTGGAGCAAGAGATGCTAGCACTGTCCTGCCAGCTGTGAGGATAGGACAGCCACACTCACCGTCCCCATAGCAGCTGGTTTCAGTCATAGCGAGGGGACAAACCCTCAAAACCCAGAGATGCACGGGCGCTGGGATGGAGAGCCCAAGTGCATGCCCTTGGCATCAACACAGCAGACAGCAGCAGCCCTTGGAGATTTTTCTTTTTAATGGTTTGGTTTTCATTTTGTACATTCGTAAAACTGTGAACAATAAATAGTGTGTGGTTGGCCTCTACCTCCTGCCTGCCCCCCGGCTTTCTACGGAGGCAGGAGAGGCCGTGAGTGATGCAGCGAGGGCTGCGGGCACCGGCTGCCGCCCCAAGCACCGGTGAGCAGGGAGGGGTCCCAGCTGGGGGTGGTGGGATGGAGCCAGGGACTGGTGTGGGGAGGCAACCCGTGCTCGAGCAATACATCAGCTAAAAGGGAGAAAGGCAGCACTGTGTGGTGGTCTGGGCACAGACCTCCTGCTGAAGCCCAGGGCTGGTGGTCTGGGAGCCCAGCTCCTTCACTGGTGTCTCAGACCTCCAAAATGCCCAGGATTTGCTAGGAAATACAACGTGCTGCTTGGGGCAGGGAAGAGATGAGGCTCCGGGGTGGGCAGAGGGACCCAGAAGTGCTATTGTTCCTCAGAGGAGGCAAGGGCTGAGTGGGCAGGGGTGGATAGGACAGAAAAACAAGACTCCAGCCTCTGCGTGCTCTGCTGGGACAGAGCGAGGGTCCTGGCATGGAAGAAGGTATGGGGGAAAGAGCCCTGAGATGGGGAATGGGGAGATGCTGTTGTAGGGGAGATGTGTGGGATGAGGGAGACAGGAAAAGGTGGGTTGGCAGGAGGCATTCAGGGGGACAGAGGGGCACAAAGCCGCAGAAGAGGCTGGAGAGAGGTGGATAGGCTGCTGGGAGTGGGTAGTGTGAGCAAGGTGCTTGGTATGGAGGGGGCTGCTCATAATGTTACGGCATCTGAAGATCACAGCACTGTTCAAAGCCAGAAAGAAAGGCCAGCTCTACCTCTCCTGGGCTTCAGAATCGAGGATCCTGAGCCCAAGCTCTGGGGTTTCTTGTGGCTGGATCTCATGGCCGCCACTGGTCTGTGGAGCCAGGGCCATGAGAAGCAACAGGACATGGCTCATCAGGAAGATCTGGAGCTGGAACTGTGGAGCTGAGCTCAGCAGTGCTCTCCTCTGCCCCCCCACTGCACTCACTTCTCCAGAGAGACCTTTGGAGACCTGTGTGCTCTGAGCAAAGTCCTTGAGTGAGAAATAACCCCCTTTGATATGGTGGAAACCTTGTCCAAAGGGCAGTCAGGTGAGAAGAGTCAGCTTCTTCTGTTGTCTAGGTCCATCAAAGCACCAGGGAGGCTGCACATGGGGCCTTGCCTTCTTGACACTCATGGTAGCACTGTCCACCTTGTGCCCAGAGAAGTGCCAGTGCCTAAAGCTCCCATGCTGTGCTGCACAGGCCCCTTATTGTTGGCTTTGCTATCCTCTTTGTCCTGCCATGCCCACCCCTCAGCTGGACTCTCTCATTGCAATACCAGCCACAAGTTTGAAGGGCCTAAAATGTGACCCCACCATTTCCTGTGGATGTGATCCCCACCACAGTGTGTGGATGAAAAAGGGCTGAGGAGAGCACGTTATACCCACCATGGTGGAAGGAAAACCATGAAAAGCCTGAATTAGGCATGGGGACTTCTCGACCCCAAGCAGACCCTGCCCAGCATGGTGGAAGGGGACAGACTGATGGTTGCTTGGTGTCATTCCAGCTTGGGTCCCTTTACGGTTGTTTTCAGCATCTTTGTATCTTGAGCGGCGAGGCTCGCAGCACCACCATCTCACCCTTTTTGCTGTCCTATTTACCATCATTTGGGAGTTTAGGACTAGTGGGCAGGAGCTCTTGGGAGCGGTACCCTGCAGGAACACGGGCTTTTGTGAGGAGCATGCATCATGTCTGCATGGGGAGAGGCCAAGGGGACAGAGGAAGGAAAAGTCATTTCTGTGTAAAGGCAAGAAAAAGAGCCAGACACTGGAAGAACTACGGGCAGGACCGTATCCCCACAGCCCAGCAGTACCCATGCATGGCAAGTCCTCTGGACAGAGAGCTCAGCACCCAGCTGTGGAGCCATGCTTTGAGGCAAGGTGGCTATTGCATCTTGTTGTGGCTGGGAAGATGTTCTTGTCTTTACAGTGTGGAAGGTACCTGGCCTCTGGGTCAGTTCACCTGGGCAAACACTTCCTTTCTGCGACCCTGAAGCCATGGGATGAAGCTGAAGCTGTTACAGTTCTGCTCTGTACAAAGGTGACAGCCACAGTCTCTTTGAGTACAACCACTTCTGGACCCAGGCTTGTTCTTACAGACACCCCATTTGTGGTCCCTCCCCTGCCATGGGAGCTGGGTTGCAGAAGTCCCTGAGAGTCTCTGATGAGAAGGTTGGATGAGCCTTCAACGGAAAGCTTGTTGCTTTTAGCAGCTCGCATTTCTTGCCTGCTAGCGACTTCCCTTCCAAAGGGAGCTCCAGGACCAGGGAGCTGAGGCTGTTGAGCATGCAGAGCCCAAAAGGACAGTGGGGAGGGGGTCACGGGGTCTTACACTTTATGGAGTCAGGCAGTGGTGAAGCTTTCATCTGTGGGGAGGAGGGATACCGGAGAGGTGGGACACTAGGAAGGTCAAGCATGAGGTGGCTAGTGAGATCCAGGATCTTTCAAGCAAGGTGGATTTAGGGGTCGGCATGCAAAGGGCTGTGGACACACACCGTGTCTGTCTCAGTGGGAAGGCTGCAGGACAGGGAGCGCTGCACGGCCCGGCAGCCCAGTGGCCCGTCCTCGGGGGTGACGGGGAGCGGAGGGCCCTGGGTGGTGCTGGATCTGCCATCAGAGCACAGCAGGACGCTGGAGTCCGCCTCGCATTTGGTGGTGCGGCTGTAGTAGGGCTCCATGACGTGCCGCAGCTCCAGCGGCATGGCGAGGGGCAGCACCTCCGCCTTGATCACGGCACCCAGGTGGGGCTCGGAGGAGGATGCCCGGAGGCTCTCAGAGTGGCTCATCTTGATCAGCAGGTCGATGGTTTTGTTCTCGGACTCCAGGAGGCAGCTTGGCAACCCCTCCTCATCTCCAGACTCGGCTGGGGCCGAACATTTCTTGAGGGCCCCTTGGTCTTTGCCGTGGAGCTTCTCCATTCCCAGGCCCACACTGCACGTTTCTTTCTTGGCCTGCGGGCACTTCTCCAGGCCCTCGGAGGATCTCTTCACCGAGAGGTCCAGGGGCCCCTCGTGGGGTTTGGAGGCTTTCTCCAAAGCCTGGTGGATGTGGTAGAGCTCCCTTCGGATTTTGACTAGCTGGTCCCTCAGCTCTTTTTGCCCAGGAGTGTCTTCCTTCGCCAGATCAGACAGTTTCTTCTCTACCTCCTGGTACTCCTCTAAGGTTTTGGACAGGTCCCCAATAAGCACGGTTGTAGCCTCAGAGTCTGTCATGGTGGCAGCAGGTTCTTGCGGTCTGCTCTGTTTGCAGAGGCCGTGCTCAGGTGCAGCACCTGCACAGGGCAGGCCTTCAGGGTCTTTGCCCCTCTCAGGTTCCTCAGGCCAGCCCGCCAGGACATCCACATGCCAGTGATCCAGAGCCCTGGGGATGTGGCCAGCATTGGCCCTCGAACCACTGCAGAAAAGAAATGGATACAATGATTAGGGAGAGCACTGGCAAAATCTTCAGCATGAGCTCCTCCGTGCGTGCTGCCAGCATGAGGACCTTCCAGGAAAGGCTTTGGTCTGAGCTTGCAGAGATCTGGCTGAATCTGCTCCTGCCTTTGTTCTCCCAGGAGAGAGATGGAGCCTAAAACAGGCTGTTTTGTGCCTCCCCTCAACACGAGTCTACTCTGGGGAGATTGTGCAGGTGAGTGATGCCAGCTCGGATGGCCAGACTTGTTTTCTGTTTCTCTTTAGAGCACTGAGGGACAGATGGACACATACTAAAGCATGTCCAGCTGCAGAGGATCTCTGCAGCCATCCTGAAAATGGTGAAGAGGCAAGAGGAGGTAGAAATGCATAGAGTGCTTCTCCAGAGAATGCTCCTCTGGGTGCCAAAAGCTGTGTTTTTTGCAGTGACATTTTTCTTGGAGCCACAGCTGGACTTGCACAACCAGGGGAGGAACTGAAATTTTGTTACAAGGAGCTGTGCACATTTCTAGCCCCAGGTAAAAGGAAATGTTTGGAAGCGTGACCCTCCCTCTGGGCTTTGGAACCAGAAGGCAAATCAGAGGAATGCAAATGTGAATGTTTAAACGATTGTTCCAGCAACTGTGAGATATTTTGGGACCCAAAAGGAGATTCCCTGGTGCCTGGGGAGCGCAGGTCCACACTGCACAGACCCCACCTTACACAGAACCTTACTAGCTCTGTGTGAAATGGGGGAAATCTAGGAACAGCAAGCAGTGACACAGCCCAGCTGCTTGGATGCACCTGGAGAGCCAAAAGCCCTGCTTTGGATGGGTGCTAAATGCACTGCTGGCTTGGAGTGAGCTGAGCTCCTGCAGCACCTAGTGGGAAGGGGTCATCAGGGATACAACGGGGTATGAAGATGGTGTTTAAGGCCAGCTAGATGTGGAGAAGAAGGAGACCCAGGACACCTTACCTGCTCTGATAACTGACTTTTCCAGGCATCAGCATTTCAGATCCTATCAAATCCAGATCATTGGAAGGGAGCTTCCTCTTCAGGTTATTGCCTGTGGGACTGCCGGTCTCCAGGCAGGTCACTGCTGTCAACTCTGCCTTCTGGATGCTGCTGGGGGCAAAAGTGCCATCCTTCATCCCCACCAGGTTTTGGAAGATGTCAGCGGTTGGCTTTTTGCGCAAGTTGTTGAGGCCCAGGTCTGGGTTGCTCTCCTTCTCTTGGGACAGCCACTTGTCTTCTTCCTGCCCCAGCACGTGTCCATGGCTGAGCTCAAGGGCTGGCTCCTCTCTACCACTTTTGGGCCAAGGAAAACTCGGTTTCAGCACCGGTACCTTCAGCAGCCCTGGTTTGGATGGCTCACTGGGGGTCTTGGCTTGGGGAGGTGTGGGCATGACCGAGCCCACCAGATGCTGGGCCTCCGGCTTGCTGGATGACATCTTGCCTTCAGTAGAGCTGAAGGTGTGCTCAAAGAGCAAAGGGTAGTAGAAGCGAGGCAGAAAGGCAGAGCGCTCAGGGCTCTGCAGGGGCTGGAAGTGGGAAGCATGTGGGTGCATCAACTGGGCCGTGGAGGCCAGGAATGGCAGCTGAGCCAAGTGCGGGTGTGTTGTCGCACTGTTGGCCATGGTGGGGCTCAGGTAGGAGAATAGGTTGGGGTTCAGGGGATAGTTGATGCCCAGCAGTGAGAGGTTGAGGCCCTGAGGTTCGTGGTAGTCACTGTAGGCTGGAGGTGGATAGCATGGGATGATGTTGCTGTCGGTACAAGGCGGGGAGACCTCAGGTGTGCTCCTCCTTTGCCCATTTGCCACCAGTTTCCACTGCTCCATGAGGATCCCACCACTGGCCAGGCATTTCTTTGGCACTCTGCAATGCTTTGGCTTAGCTTCTAGGTCTGGGGAGGCCATTTCTCTGCTTTTCATGACATGGTTCTTGAGAGAGAAGACATCTGTGATGATGAAGTCAGGCTCCACCTCCTTGCAAGGCTTATCTCTCTTGTTCTTGAAGCCAAAGACCAAAGTGTTCACTTCTGGTTCAGCCGGATCACCTTGGCAACCTGCCTCTTCATTTTTCTCCTTCTTTTCCCCTGCATCCATCTGCCTCAAGAGGCCAGCCACATCCTCCTCCTCCTCTTGGAACGGGCTGCCTTCTTCCCCAGCCCCTTCAGCAGGCAGGATCTCCACTCCTGATGCCGATTTCTCCTCGTGGCCAACCCTGCCAGGGGTCTGCTTGATCCTGCCCGACCCTCCCGACGTGGCCGAGGAGTCGCAGGTCTCTGGCTCGTCCTGCCGCCCGCGCAGCCGCATGGCCTCGGTGGCATGCAGGAGCCGCAGCTCTGGGTGAAGCAGGTTGCCCTTCTTGTAGGGCCAGTCAGACTCGATGAGGAGGGAGAGGGAGTTCTTGCACAGGCTGTACTTCATGTGGTTGTAGAGGTGGGATTTCTCCATGCACGTGAAGGGGCACTGGAAACACTTGTAGTTGTAGGGTTTGCCCCATGGTCTCGGGATGTAGTGGGGCTTTTTGGGCTTCCTCTCCTTGTGTTTGTAGACGGAGGTCAGCTTGCAGCCCACGTCGTCCTTGGACATGGCAGTGGGTGCCTGGAGATGGCTCCTGGTGGGAGCAGAGGGGCTCAGTGCCTAAATCTCACTCCACCTCCCCAGGAACTTCTGTATGCCCTGGAAGGAAAGAACATGGGAGCTGATGAGCCGACAGCCCTGCCAAGTCCTGCTTGTATGTGAATACAGTCAAAGAAGGTGTTCAGACAGACAGATTTGTTGGGGAGACACTACAGACAGACTGTGTGTTCCCCATCATTGCTACCCATTCATTTGCAGACTGCCACAGGCAACTGGGACCACTGAAGGAAAGGAACAGTGTGGTCTGAGCCTACTGGGGAAGTGAAGACCACAGCTGGGCAGCCAAGACTAGAGCTGCCAGGGAGGTTCAGGCAGCCATGGGCATTTCTTCCCACTGGACTGGTGTGCATCCAGCCCAGCCCAGCCATAGGCTGGCTGCAGTGCTTGAGGGCTGTTTCAAGGTTGCAGTCTCAAGCATTATTAGCATTCACAGACACCCTCTGCTCATGCCTTGTTCCTACAGTGGCCCTGCAGACAGTGCCAGCAGCCCCACACTCAGCTGCTGGCTGCTGGGCTGGAGGATGCTCTATGTGCTGGGGGACTCTCCCGTGCTCTGCTTCCTGTGCTTTCACCACTGGGACCCATAAAGCATCACATTGCATCCTGCCCTCTTCCCCAGCACCACTCCCAACTCTAGCCCCCGAGCCCCACATAGATTCATGAACCCTGGCCATGGCAGTATCCCAGTGCCCCATTGGAGGATGAGGAACATGGAGAGACCGAGCGGGAGCCGCATAGCATGCTGTGTGTTTGCAGGTCAGTTGAACAAACATTTGGTGTTTATACACCAGAGGCAGATTAAATCTGTGCTGAGAACTGGTTGTTCCATTCTTGCACGCCCGACCCCCTCCAGCACTGCCGCAGAGGTGTGCGGATGCCGTGGAGTTGTCCCACTTGAGGACAGAGAGTGACTCCACAACACATCCACTTCCACCTCCCAGCACCACAGAAATGAATGGTAAGGCAGGGAGCAGGGGAATAGACAGCAATGCGATGGGAGAGTGCCCCACGTGAGAGCCAGGGGCCAGGGGAGGAAGGCTCAGTGCAGCAGAGGCATCCCCAGAGCTGGATAGGGCTCTGCAGAGCTGGGAGCCAGGCGTTGCGGCTCCTGGTTGCTGAGCAGTTCCCGCACCAGCAGATCTTCGTGGTCTGTTGAGTCTCGCTCTGCCACAACGCATTATTTCCAGTGGGCTGTCAGCTGCGGACGTGCGGGGCCGTGCCTGGGGGCAGCGCTCGGCGGGGACCGCGCACCTGTGCCTGGGAATTGCAGCATCCCTGCTCTCCTCCTCAGGACATGGGGAGGGGGGCATGGTCAGATGGAGGGAGTGGAGGGACAAGGGGAGAAGAAAGAGATGGAGAGACAAAGGCAACGAAGAAGGGAGAGATGCTCAGAAAAGGGATTTGGGGTCCCCAGCACTCCAGCACTTTAAAAATCCCAAACCCAGCCTGAGCTCCAGGGATAGAAGCAGTACATAGAACTCTAGGGGCAGCTTGACTGGATCACATCAACAGACTGTCCAGCTCATGTCTCTAACAACAGCCAAAAGGAAGTGCCCAATATATGTAGGGCAAGCATCTTTGGTACTGCTCCAGTTTCCCAAATCCTCAGCTCATCTCCATATTGGACATGGACACCAGTGACCCTCCCCTCTCTGGAAACCGTGGAAATATCCAACCCCAAAATCATCCTGCAGTGGGGATTTCCCCACCACGCTGCTCAGAGTGCTGCCTACTGAGCCCACAAATTTCCTTTGACACCCCCAATTCTGTGGCTCACCATGACAGTCCTGCTTCACCACCTCCTTTCCAGGCAGAAGGTGGGCACAGCATGAACTGCTGCAGACCTCTCTCCCTGTATGTAGGCATAGCCATGTGCTCAGGGGAAGGAGAGACCTAAAGGCTGCTGGAATGGAGTGGCCTGGTTCAAAGACCAAAGCATGGGTCCACTGGAGAAGCCCTGCCACTGTAAACCTGTCCTGATAGCTGCTTTTGAGACCCCCATGAGCTTTTCTGGTTGGAACAAAGTCCCATGTCTCAAATTGATGTCTTCCCTTTGCCCCTTGGGTCCTGCCATGCATGTAGGGCTGCCAAGGAGCCACAACACCACGGACATCAGTAGCCATCAACCTTTCCCAGCTGGGCATGAGACATGGTGTGGAAGTAGGGGCATGGGAGGGATGCTGAGCTTCCCACGGTCTCAAGGGCTGGTCCTACCCTGCAGGGGCAACTTCAGGGACATGTTACCCCCACAGCTACATTCACCTGGCTGCTTCCCCCTGCATATTCAAACCACTCAAGCTCCAGAGGCTGAGCATCACAACAATCTCAGTGTACCCTGCACTGCCATTTGCCAGGGAGCGGGCTGCCCAAATGACCACGAATGGTCACCAGGATGGCACAGAAGGGAGCATGGGGGGCATGGCTTTTCTATGGGGTGTGATGCTTACACTGACAACCCCAAAGAACATCCCTTTCCTGCAATTACCCAAAGCCCTCCATTGTAGTACTTCCCATTTTTACCAGTGCCGAGGCTGGAGCAGGCAGAGATGCTTTGCGAGATGAGGGGTGGGTGGCAGCGTCGAGCCACTGATCAATGCAAAGCACTTTCCCTACATGCTTTTGCTGCAGGGGCTACTTAGCAGATATTGGGACCCTTTTTATTTTCATAGCCTGGGGTTGCACAATCTGAGCTTTTAAGCATTTATTGGAGCTTGGGATGAGGGCAATTGGCCGTAGCAAAGCAGCAGGCGCTTGAAAGAGGGGGGAAAGCCTGGTTGATGGAGGCCTGGGAGCTCCCAGCCTCCCCACACCTCACTGAAATGCCCACACTTGCAGTTAAAATGACAGTGAGAGGTCATCCTTTGGTATCCCAAGTTGGGAGATTTGAAACTATTCCCACCTTGAGATGTGCCTTACTCCAGCTTGGGGTCCATTGAAAGTCCTCATCTCTAAATACGTGCCCCATTTATGTGCCCCAAAGTGCTCTATACGCAAGATGACCAAACCCAGCTCTCTAAAAATTCATTACCATTTGGGTTCCCAGATGTTTGGGTTTCCAGCATTTTGGGAGATCAGGAGATTTGGTTCCCATGGCCCCATCTCAGTGAGCGCCTCTGCCTCCTGCCCACCCAACCTCAGAGAGTCCTCCAGGCTGCTCCCCACAGTGTGCCACCTACAGCACCGTCAGCACGCAAGTCTTGGACCCAAATTGTGGCTCCAAGTTTTCTCCTCTCCTTTTTGCCTTTGTTCAAGAAGTGTTCTGCATCTCTCACCTCTCCTCTGCCTCCATCCCCAAAAAGCAGCCGCCTCTCCCCACTCTGTTAGCCTGAAGACTCCCTGAGGCAACCCCAGCATCCTATGAGAAACACACGCAGTGGCAAGCGTTCAACCAAGCGACAATGGGTTGGAGTCGTTGTCTCCTGCCCTCTGCCCATGGCACACAACTCAAAGCCTCACGGAGAGATGAGATCAGGCCGTGAGAGCCTCCGGGCTACTCTCCATAGAGGCGAGTGCCCTCCACTGCAGTGGCTTTCCTCCCACAGCCCTTCCTGCCGCAGCCCTCTGGGGGAGGAGGCAGGTCCTGGTGAGGAGATGTAAGGCTGTCTCTGCACATTACATCAACCACCCGCACAAGCTTGTGCTTGGCCCCCACTGCAAGATTTTCCTGCTCCTTCATCCACCTCCACCTCTACCTGCTAATGGAGCCCTGGGAGACCGCAGGCTCTCTGCTGGATTTAGTGGCTCCATTGCAAGCAGACCTCCAGATGTGTGAAGACATCCATCTCCAGCAGCTGGATAGAGGGGAAAGTGTGTGCAAGCCACGAAGCCAGCAGCGTGGCTGGCACCCAAAAGTGCACAGAGGAGTTAGTGCCCACAGCTGGCACAGTGATTAGGGGGAGAGGATGAACATCTGGAGAGAGCTGGGAGGGCTTGAGATGTGCAGGCATCTGGATAGGAAGGTACAACCTAGCTCTCCTACATGGTGAAGTCTGCGTCACGCCTGTGATGTGCAGAGCTCCCACCTGCCAGCCTCTAGGGTTGGTGCTGGGAATAGAAGCCCCTTCCTCCCAGTGTCCCAGCCTCATCTCTTCCCCTGTGATGTGACACATAGGCAGCAATGTGGGGTTCAACTCCATGCCAGTTCCCACCATCCCATTGCCAGTCATTCCCCCTAGAAGAGCAGCTGCCAGGCCGCAAGGTCCTGGAGCCTACTGAGGGATGGAGCTTTGTCCCCAAAGCTGTCTGGTGGTTCCCTTCTCCATAGGGTCTTTTTCACACTCCATGCTTCAGCTGGCTTTCTCCCACAAGCAGCGTGCTGTGCGTATGAGCTGCTCAGGCATCTCACTCCTTTCACAATAAGAAAATACACTGCATTCCAGATCAAATCCATGCAATTTGTTTTGAGGCACAAAGCCTTCACTCCTCCTTGCCTAGCCTACCATTGCCCTTGCATTCCAGCCTTCTTCTGCTCTTATACATGCCCATTGCTGTACCATCACCTCCTTTCCTCCTGCTGCAGGAGAGGATGGGCCCGAGTAACTGGATGGGGTTCAAAGCATCCTGATCATACTGGGGGAGACCAGCCCATGGCACGGGGTTGGAACTCGATGGTCTTTTAAGTTTTTTCCAACCCAAGTCTTCCTATAATTCTGTGATGATTCTATGATTCTGCGATTCTACTCAAGGCAATGGTGACAAGTTAAATAGATATCTGTGGGTGTGGATGCTTCAAGTCCTCAGCATGCAGCATAGACTGCAGCACCAGTGCTGCAAGCTAGGCAGGGGCCAGTGCAGATTGGAGCCCACACCTCAAGAAATCCAGCCCAAGCAGCACCAGCTTCTGAACTATTCCAAATTAGTCAAAAAGGGAAAAGGAAAAATGCTTTGCTGCTCCCAGCTCGCAGCTTCCATCTCCCAGCACCACTCTCCCACCCCAGGCTCTCAGTCAT